TTGCCCCCTGACCTAATGATGTGGGGTCATAGATCTAGATCTAGATTAGATCTAGAATCTAGATATATAGATCTAGATTCTAGATCTAGAATCTAGATATATAGATCTAGATCTAGATCTAGATCTATGCACGCATGCATGCATGCATAACCATTCAACACAATATTATTGCCTGTACAAACCACTCACGGCAGATTATATAAACTGGATGCAACATTATACTCCTGTGTTTTCACCCGTGTGTGGTGTGTTGGAACAGTCAGAACACTGGAGTGTGTGTGTGTGTATTGTGTGTGTGTCGACTGACTGGCCCTGGTGCCTGGTCGCGCTGTGTGCAGTGCACATTGCAGTACGAGTAGTAATAGACGAGGGAGACTGGTGGCCAGCGAGTCGGAGCATCTACCGCGGAATCTAAAATACATGAAATATTTTTAACCGCCAAAATTCCCTAGCATCTTATTGTAAAATTATTATTAGACTGTCATCGTGATTAGGTCCAAAAGAGAAATGTCTTTTTTAAATTATGTTTTCTTTCTCAAGGTGAGGAGAGAGACTGCACTAGGGGTATTAATTCTATTGTCAAAGAAGATGTGTAAAGGCTGTCAAAAATTCGTGGTGCGACTTACTTTCAAATATCTCATAAACTATCGAACATAGGTTCTCCAGTTTTTGCACAGTGACTTGTATCAATTTGTCTTAACAGATCAACATGTTTGTTAACATCTGCAAGCTGTATTCTAGAAATTTCCGTAATAAATACTAATAAAAAATCCGATTGGGTGGTTTCTACAGACGTTTCAATCTTTACAGCTGGGGCAATATAGCTTTTAATAGCAAATTCGTCAGGTTTTTCTAATCAGGACATTATGCTTATTGAACGCATGTTTTGAGAGCCATTAGTGAAAAAAAAATGTGTTCACTATAACAGTAATTTCTTGTAACAAGTTTTGCAAGTAAAAATTGTCATTGACGAGCTGTGACGTAGGCCATATGCCTAATCAAAATGAGTGTGAGAAACGGGAAGTGCTGTGAACAATACCATTTTACCTGTGACAGAGATTTCAAGTTTTTTAATCTCGCCCCAATTGTTTTAGAAAAATATGATTTAGTTAAGACAAATCTATTCAAACTGCTATGCAAAGTATGGATGACATTGATTCACCCGTTAAAGAGATATTTGAGGATACGTTGCACCACGAATTTTTTGATCGCACTATATAAAGAGAGAGTAGTAGTGCTACCTCCCAACTGAACATTGAAGAGATTCTCTTTGATGACTTGGTGTGTCTGTAGGAGAGAATATATGGCTATGACAGCTTCGTTCTGAAATGATAATGCATGCCTCAATACTGACACTGTTGCTTACTTAGATACTCATTCACTTAGATACTCACTTACTTAGATACTCACTTACTTAGATACTCACTCACTTAGATACTCACTCACTTAGATACTCACTCACTTAGACACTCACTCACTTAGATACTCACTCACTTAGATACTCACTCACTTAGATACTCACTCACTTAGA